ATAATATTAGGAAAGTGGAAAGAATGGTATGACGTTACCGTAAGAAAATGGTTGTTTCTAGAGGCCGGCGAAGCTAAAACTTCAATAGATTCTCATCATGCACAAGTAAGTATTAAAAAAACGGAAAAAAAAAAATGACAAATGAAAATTTTAAATAGCGATTTTTTTATTTATTTTTTACTCAAGGTCACTATTTCAGGTTTTTATTTGTCATAATTAGAGATGGGTTTCAAGTATGCGCATTAATGCACATTCATGCGCATTTTATCACATCAAGATTTCTCTCCTCTCGATCGTTTTTTCTTTTTTTTGCCTTTTTTTTATCATGCGATATCATGCGCATGAAACATTTCGTGCGTATTAATGTGCATTCATGCGCAATTTTCCCATCACTAGTTATAATTCATTATATTTTTCGACTAACAATTCTTCTAGATAACCCACGCTATTAAGAGATATGTTAAGTTTGGCCATGATATTGATTCTGGTGAAGACATTGAAAGGGCAATAAAGGATATAGCAGAAACGCATGTTGCTCACCTAGAACCAAATAGAAATCAGCGTTAGTATAGTTGTAACTGTTTTTTTTTTTTATAACAAAATAACACTGATAAATCTAAAATATTCGCCGTGTTGAATGGTACGATTCGAATGCCATCATTCATCACTATCACATGATTTCACAGACACGCATGTCCGCGAAATCATGTGATAGTGTTGAATGGCAGTTCGAGTGGCATTCGAATCGTGCCATTCAACACGGCGAATGTTTTAAATTTTACCAGTGTAGGTAATAAATGTACATATCAAACAACGCAGGCGATAGCAATTCAACACTAGGAACAATGGCGGGAATTCGAAACTGGCACGAGTGGTCTTGGCCCAATAATGAAGCCGAAATAGGATATATTTATGCAAGGTCATTGCCTGGAATTGGCACATGGAAAAAATTCACGCCTGCAAATATACAAAAAATTGTGAAAAAGCGTGTTATCAAAAAACCTGAACCTAGCGTTA